TATTTAAATACATAAAAGAGAAATTTGTAACACTTACTTTTATAATTTGATATCATGTTTTTTAATAAATTTGCAAAGACGTAGAAAGCCAGGTTTGTCGGAAATAGTAAGAAGAGAGTTAAGATTAACTGGACGGGGAGTTTTAGGTGGGAGTTGATTATATAAAGACGGATACTTTTGACAGTTAAAAAAAATGTGATCAGTGGTACCTTCTTCAATTCCACATTCACAAACAGAGCTATTCAAAATTCGAATCTTTGCAAGAAAAACGGGAGTAGTTACATGTCCAAAACGAAGACGACATATGGTAGTGACGATACGTCTGGGAATATCACGGAATTTATAGAACCAAGGCTTACTCGGCACAGAATTTTGTAAGCTACCATAATGTCGTCCTATAATTTTAGAAGTACGGATCCATCTTGTTCCCCATACATTTTGAAGGTCAGACCGAGCTATTTGTAAGATATCCATAGAATAGTTCTGTAGATGAGAGGGATCACCTATCATAATAGCCTCCTTGGCCCACGCATCCACAATTTCATTATTTCGTATGCCGCTGTGTCCAGGTATCCAAGCTAAAACAATTTCAATATTCTGGGAATGACATTCAAAAAGCAGATTTTTAATTTTCAATATTATCGGAGACGGTGCTTTGCTTTTAAATAGATTACTTAAAAGAGCTTCTAAATTACTTTTTGAGTCGGTAAAGATGATCGTTTTATTCAACTTATGTGAAAGTACATAGGATACGGCTTCCAAGATAGCCACCGCTTCTCCAGAAAAAACAGAAGCTTCAATTGGACATTTAAAACTTAGCACAATTTTATATTTTGGGATCCATACTGCTGCACCTACATTACCATCCGAGCAGGTTTTAGAAGCATCAGTGAAAATTGGCAGCCAGTTAATCCAATCTTTATTAAAACATTCCTGAAATTTTTTTTGTGCAAAAGGATCATCTTTCTGTATACCGAAATTTAAAACTATATCAGGGAAAAAAATTAAGGCATCATAATTGATACTAAAAAGAGGAAGAACATCAAATTTTGTGATGCTGTGAGTCAAATTAGACAGTTTCTCATAGCTATTTATTATTCTAGGTGAATTCTTGTGAGTCCAATATGCTGAACCAGTTATGAGACTAGATAATTCACGAAGTCGAGAACACAGGGGGTGAGTTTGCAATTGAACAATTTTGAAAAAGAATCTGTCAGAAAGATATTGACGTCTTAAATCTAAAGGAGGATCTACACATTCCACTTGGAGAGCATTACCAGGAGAAGACTTCATAGCGCCTGATATGATACGTAGGCATCTTAACTGTTGTTTGTCTAATTTAATAAGAGATTCTTTGTTGCACGGCTCAAGCAAAAAAGAACCGTAGTCAAACAAGCTGCGTATTAGGGCATTATATATAAGTTTCTGTGAATAGGGATGGGATCCCCACCACACCCCAGAAAGTGACTTAAGAATATTCACAGATTTCTCCGATTTTTGTAGCACGTAATTGAAGTGAGGAGAGCCAGTCAATTTGGAATCAAGAATAACACCCAAAAATTTTACCTGTTCAGAAGAAGGAATAATTTGATCATCTATTTTGATTTCAGTTGGGGGTATGGTTCTTTTCCTTGAAAAGACCACAGTTTTGCATTTCTGAACTGAGAGAGAGAGTCCGTGAACTTCTAGCCATTGATTTAAATAAAATAAAGCTGAATTCAACCTATCTGATGTTTTTTCAATTTGTTTACCTGAAACATACAGACAGATATCATCCGCATATTGGAGAATGTTAACGAAGCTTGACACAGATAGTTCAAGGTCATAGGTATATAGACTATATAATAATGGGCTAAGTACAGAGCCTTGAGGTAGTCCTTGCCAGACAGTTCTAGGAGGAAATTGATGGTAATGGAAGTGAATCTTTACATTTCTGCCTACCAAAAGATTGTATATAAATCGAACTAACCTCATAGGAAAATTCAATCGAAGAAGCTTCTCTCTGAGAACCGGAAGGAGAACATTGTCATAGGCAGCTGAAATATCTAGGAATGCGCCTACCAGGAATTCGTTTTTCGAAAACGCCAACCGTATGTCAGATGTTAAAATAGCAAGACTATCTACTGTACCTTTACCTTTGCGAAACCCAAACTGGCTATTTGCCAATAAACTTTTATTTTCGGCTATCCATTCTAGTCGATTCTTTACCATGTGTTCCATGATTTTACAGATTGTCGATGAAAGGGCTATAGGTCTGTACGAAGAAGCATCTAAAGGGTTTTTACCCGGTTTTAAAATCGGAATAACTATTTGCGATTTCCATGACGGGGGAATGTCCCCAGTGTCAAGTATCTTATTATATAGATCAAGGAGGAAAGATAGGCCGTTAGATCCAAGATGTGAAATAAAAGAATACGGGATGCCATCTTCACCCGGCGAAGAATCCTTTAGGTTTTTAAGGGCAAGTTTGAGTTCTCCCAAAGAGAATGTTGAGTTAAATCTATCAAAATGTAATTGAAAAGGAGAGATCTGTTGATTTTCTATGGGGACAAACGGAGGAGCTAATTTATTAGCAAAAGAGTCCAACCATGGCGACGGATCATTAGATGTTGCTGGAGGGACAATTAAAGACCCACGAAAGCGCTTGATACTTTGCCAAACTTTAGAAGGGGCTGTAGACGGAGAGAGTTTTTCACAGAATCCAAACCATCCCATTTTTTTTTTCTTTTTGAAAAGTCGTTTAGCTTTAGCAGCTATTTGTTGGTAGTTAATAAAATTTTCAGGTGTCATGTTGAGGTTATAATTTATTTCAGCCTGTTTTCTTTGTTTTACTATTTCCGAACATTCAGAGTCCCACCAAGGGGGAGATATTACTTTTCTTTTTGATGGTGAGATTCGAGGTATATTAACATCAGCTGCCTTTATTAGAGCATTCTTAAAAGTCGAGAACAATTCATCTATTGTGAAGGATTGATCTGTATTATCTGGGACCAGTTGGTTTTCTACATCTTTGGAGAACCTGTACCAGTCTCCCTTGCGAGTATTATACTTGCGTAATGTCGATAATGATGAAGTTGGAATACAAGTATCGGGCTTAGCTATTATGATTGGGAAGTGGTCACTTCCATACGTTTGTAACAATGTCATCCATGTTAGCAGAGGAGCCAGACTAGGAGAACATACGGAAAGGTCCACTGCTGATCTGGGATCTTGAGTAGGGTAGACTCTTCTGGTAGGGCTACCGTCATTTAAGAGGCATATATCAAGTTCATAAAATATTTCCAGTAGATGAGAAGAAAATGAATCGCAATAATAAGAGCCCCAAGAGGTATGATGGGAGTTGAAATCTCCGAGAATAATAACTGGCTTAGGTACACATTTTAAGATTGATTCTAAATCTCCTATGAGAGTGGAAGACGGGTGGGGCAGGTATATGGAGACAAAACTAATATTTAAAACTCGGGCAGCTACTATATTAAATGCATCACTATGAGGAGGAAGGGAGAGCTGTGAATAAGTTAAACTATATTTGATTAAAAGAGTGCAACCATCATAGCCGTCGGCCTTGTCATCCCTGAGACAGACATAGCCACGCATCGGTAACCGGTTGTCAGGCTTAAGCCACGTCTCAGAAATGGCAGCGACAGCGATATTGTATTTGTTTAATAAATATTTAAGTTCGTGTATTTTAGGTCTCACACTTCTACAATTCCATTGCAGAAACTGGCAAGTGTTCTTCATCGGGGTTGAGTGAACCATTTTTAGGCAGAATACTATTTAAAATATTAAGTTTCTGTGCTACGTTGGGCGGTAGGGCATCATTAAACCTAAATAGGATATCAGTAAGTAAAGAGATTATATGTTCCAGGAACTGTCGTCACTGGATGATGAGTAAGGATTTTCTAAGTTGGATCCATTAGATGAAGTGGAGGGGACTTCTGCGATTATAGATTGATGGGTGTGATGATCATACCCTTTAGAAAGTGGAGCCCTTTTTTTGGGCAATAACGTTACAGTTTCGCGGTATGTTCTTGTGGAGGGGATGTTTGGGATTGAGAAGATGAGAAAAGCTGGGAGGATGTGTGTGCAGCAAATGCTCGGGACTGAGTTGGAATGTTAGAGGGACTAGACAATTTCGTGACATCGGAGTAGGGACGACGGACAGAAGGGAATCGGGCAGAAGCTTCCAGATACGACACATTTTCTTGGGACATTACTCTTTTAATATTGTGTTGTCTAGAAAATTCTGGACAACCTCTATTTGTCGCAAAGTGTCCTCCAGAACAATGTAGGCAGGTGGATTGATTTTCTGGGATGGGACAACCGTCACCAGAATGCTCCTGGGCACAACGATAACACCTAGGTTTTGAGCGACATTGCACTTTAACATGGCCAAACCTACAACAGTTGTGACATTGAATGGTCGGTAGTTGATATGTCTCCACAGGGAGAGAAGTAGAGTATGAGTAGATTCTCTTAGGAAGAAGCTGACTATTATTTACTTTCTTTTTTCAGACATTTATTTACTTTCTTTTTTTAATTTATAAACCTTAATAATTAATGATTAGTTCAACAATAAGATATGAGTACATACGAAATCCGATATCAGAGCATAATAATATGAACCATGAGATGGCTGTATATTTATTGCTTCTAAGTATAATTGATCTAAAAAAATAAATTTAAAAAAATATCAACTTATTACGTCAATGTCCAAACTAGATCATGTCAAAATTGCGTGGTTGATTGAGTTGATGTAATAATACCTGCGCTTGTGGAGTGATTAAGCGGCATGTTCATGCCATGCATAATGCTAAATTTTCTAATTATTGTACTTACCACTTCTGGAAATGTAATGAACCGTAAACTCAAAGCTGGTGACCTAACAACTCGAAGAAATAGTGTCGAATCTGTCTACTGACGCGCGTTTTGTATAAATGGTTGACGGGTTCATACGTAGTTTATCGGACTGTAAACACACTATTAAATTGTAGAAAACAATGGCAGGGGCAACTTTACCCGAACGGGTTGCTCAAATCTATTATACGTATGGTCTATTTTGCTCATCTTACCCAATAATTGCAATCACATTAGCGCTATCCGTTGTTCTGCTGTGTTGGTGAGTATAAAATATTTTTTATCATTTAATTATGCACTTATAAACTTTTTTCATACACAGTTAACTTCTCGTAATTGATTGAATTTTTATTTCTACAGTTACCCATTACTTAATGTACCACTCCCAGGAAACATTCCTACAGTTGTAAATTTGCCATGGCAAATGGGAAATTTCAAAAACTCGCCTCATGCGAATTGTTCTACCAAAGACTGCTTTCGAGATGATGGTGAGCAAATCATAATTATCTGCTTTTTATAATTATCGGTATTGTCATTTAAGATTTTAATAATATTTTGGCTCTTTATTAATTTACATCATTGGACAAATATGTGATATAGAATCAATTCTACCTACATTTTATTTATGAACTATTAAAATTTTTAAATAAATTAATAAATGATAAATTCCTACTGATGAAATTCACACCAATATTCCAAAATTAACCTTTTATATAGGTCACTTAATGCTTAATGTATTGTATGAAGGTTATAGAATTTCATTACAAAATTTATTGCAATCAAATGTAGCATTCATCTGTGAACATTAGGTATAGTAAGTAAATAAATATTAGATAACATAACATACATCTCTTAGATCCTGATCTCATTACCTAGCTTTTTCAATATAGATTCTTGTTAAGCATGAGTCATCTATGTAAATTACGATTATTTGGAAATCAATATATTTTCTTAATAATGAAGATTATTCCATAAACTACATTTTTATGGAATAACACTAGATTCTAAACTTAAGTTGGGCCCACATATTGGTAAATTGTTGAATAGATTTCCCAAGCAACATAAGCTGGCTGAATAATCTCTATATAACAATAAATTTTATGACGTAAAGCTGCCATGGTGGACTGATTAACATCTGTATAAGTGCTTTTATAGACAATATTCAAGCAATTTGGGCATAAAGTAATGTGCTTTAATTTCAGTAATAGCTAGTTAATAATCACTTAGTCGCTCAATAAGTGTACAAAAAGATGTGTATCTTCTGTATAAACCATTTGTCCAGAAGTTATAATTCTTTTAGCAGTGTAATGTTTTTCGCCAATTAGTTAATATTTAAAATTCAGATCTATAATCTAATTTTATAAAGAAATAATAATCATCCAAAAAATATTTTTATGGATTCAATACAAAATACATCTTTGACATCTTATAATCAAATAAGTATTTGATAAGATAGTATAAGTTCTGTTTAAGTGACTTTTTAATTTAATTCTTGAAACACATGCCACTTCACTGTCTTAATACATGTAAGTTGATTGTAAAAATTTGAATAATGAAATATTTAAAGTATTATTACAGATTTGAGCGCCAGTTACATAGCTAGTATTTTTACATAATCCAAAGTACTTAATTAGTAAAAATTAAGTATTCTATATAATTTAGCTATTCATTTCAAAATCAGGTAATGAAGAATGTTGGAGACATTTTTTTTAAGTATATTCTGTTCATATAGCAGTTTTCAGCATATTTCTGGTTAATCGTCATACCATGATTCCTTATCCAGATATTATTTAATTATCAACTTTATAGGTACTAAACCATTATTCCGATATTTTCCATCTTCTATTTCTTTCACTACTATTTTTCTGGGAGGTTGCAACAAAGTTAGATGGATCCTAATCCCTTGGTAAAAATCTAGGAAATCATTGACATGTTACTCCCAGTAAGTCTATTACAGGCTCTTACAATACATTTTTACTCACCATTTTCTAAAGTTATTGCAAAAAGAATAATTTTTTTAACCTGTCTTGTCTTCTTCAAAATCACTAGAATTTAAACATTATTAGAACATTATTATTGTAATAAATTTGTATGTGCTAAGGTCATTTCTGTGTTTGATGAATACTATTTTTTTTTTCTATATTCCCATAAGCATTTTCTCCTTATTCCTCCAATATTTTCTCCTTACTCCTCCGATATTTTCTCCTTACTCTTCCAATATTTTCTCCTTACACCCCTGATATTTTCTAGATAAGAATGTGGAATTCCTTTAATACTTAGATACATTGTGCGAAATTTCTATATTTTTCTATCTTAAGCTGAATATAAAGACGCTGTAATCTGAATATTAAGGTAGTTATATACTTCTCGCGCTATAATTTATTTATTATTGTGATAAAAACGACGTACAGAAGTAAAAAAAAGATAAAAATTTACAGTTCAGTTTCATAAGTTTGTATACATTACTCATTTTAATTTATGCAGTTATTTGTGTAAAAACTAAAAACATCAGAAATATTCGGCTTCTGGAAAAGTAAGTGTAAGTAAAGCATTATGCAACTTAAAAAGATTGAACATAAATATTCAGAATTAAGAATATTAAATTGAACTTATACAGAGTAATTCTGAATTTCCAGCTACTATATTAGTTGTCTAAATATCGTTTATTTAATAGTGCTACTTATGGTTAGTATTAAGCTTAAAATAGATGTTCAATTTCATACAGGATTTATGCAGCTTACAGAGTCATTTAGGCCAAAAAATTATACAATTTTATTACAAGAAACAAAAATAAATTAAGATGCCTGTCACTAGACTGTAAATATTAAATAATTTATTCTGGGGTCTTTGTGTGCAATTCTACAATAAGGTGCCAGGCAAAATACAACAATTTGATATCATATAGTTTACTATTAAAAAAGCTTATTGTAATTTCGCTTCGGCATGAATGGGCCGGCTCGAGTGGAGTGATACCACGGCCTCACAGAAAACCGACGTGAAGCAACGCTTGCGTTGTGTTTCGTCGTGTGAGTGAGGGTACCGGAGGCCCAACCCTTCCCTATTCCCTTCCCTCTACCCCTCAACCCTTCCCTCCAAGGCCGGCAGCGCGCTTGTAGCCCCTCTGGTGTTGCAGGTGTCCATGGGCGACGGTAATCACTTACCATCAGGTGATCCGTCTGCTCGTCTGCCCCCTATCCCATAAAAAAGAAATAATAATAATATATGATTTAGGTATACCATTAGAAAAAAATTAGAATTACATATAAAAAAAGTAATTGGCAAACAAAAGGCACATATCAAGCAAGCAAAAAATAAAATACTATATAAAAATAATACTAACTAAATTCCATATTAAAAAAAATACTCTAAAATAATAAAATCTGTAAAACATATAACAAAACGAAAATATAACATATCATCATAAATCATAGCTCAAATAAAAATATAGCTACATGAAATCTAATACAAAGCTAAAAATCTATACCTTTAAAAGTACGATAGGTTTGTCGATAATAATATTTGTACTGACATTAATACTAACTATGGCAGAGTTACTTAAATAACATTTTATATCAAATATTTCCTATCAAAAAGATTAATTCAATTTAATAATAGGTAATTACATTAAAATCGATTTGGTATTAAAAAAATCAAATCGACTAAACTCGCGATTTATAAAATACTCATTAAAGTATGGCAATCACTAAAAATGAGAACCTTGTGTTGGACTTTTGATTGTGTAACTTATGTTAATATTTTAAATATGATGGAAAATTTGGGTGTGCATTGTATTACTTTAAAACATTTTGAAAGTTATTTAAAAAATAGTCATCAACTTAGTTTTAATTATTATGACAAATCAAATAAAATTTTCAAAAAGTACAATTTAAACAAAAAACATATGTCCTTGGCCTACCACAAGGCAGTATTCTAGGTCCCGTTCTCCTATACCACATAAATAACTCAACAAACATCACAAAAAACTTTGTATTATGTTTGCTAAGGAGTCAACAATTTTTATTCCTGTTATTATATTTTATTATAATGTTAGTTACAGTTTATAATGTTCACTTAAAATAAGCACTAATCGAATCTGTTAATAACGCAAATTGTACTTTCTCCTGGCTGTTATGGTCTATTTTAAAACGATAATTTGTTTGTTCAATATTGTATCATAATGAAATAATTTTACAATAATTAAAAGAGACAAATCTACTGTTTTCCAATTCAAGAGTTAAAATCGGTTATTAGTCTATAAAATTAAACATTATGCTTTTAAAGGTAATGTTAATTAAAACATTATGTTTCATGTAACAGTCTTGACTAAAATATATAATCAGTTAATGGCAAATATAACTGTTAAAATATATCATTTTTATTTTTTATAGTTGATATACCTGAACAGCTGAGTGTTCTTCTGAATGAGACACAGAAACTTCCCTATGTTTGGGCAAAGGAGAGGCCTTTGCTTTATGTTCATCAAATAGTTATGAAAATAGGTATGAATTTCTAATTAAATAACTATATAGATTTAAAAAGAGATTACTATGAACTTGCGATGAAAGTCAATTGAATGTGATTAAAATTTTCCTATAGATTATATTAAGAATATTGTATTATTGTCAAAGCATAGGTACTAGTTAATGTTATTAATCATGCTAGAGATAAAAAGTTATGTATTAACAAATGGGTATTAGGTAATTAATGAACTATATTTTGATAAATAGAAAAACAAGTGTGCTTTGTCTATTAATTATACTATATAATAATAATAAAAATTAAAAATTACAAAGGAACATAGCAATAATGTTGTCTAAGGTGTAAATTGTCCTTTCGGATGATAGTAGAAAATATATTTTATAACTATATTTTTCAACTGTTATTCTTACTATATTTTTAGACCAATAGCTATATTTTATACTTTCAGGTGTTTCACCTTGGAACAACAACCTTAAGATGTGGGATGCATTTCGTGCACCACTCCAGGAAGTGTTTCGATTATTGGAAACAATACGTAACCACGAAGATCCAGAAACGTAAATTCCGTTTTTTATTATTATTTTAAATTGTATATTTCATTTATTTATTAGTGTACATTACATATTTATTATCATAATCAGTATACGATAAAGTAATCAGTCAATTTTGTCTGCAAAAGTGCAATGCTTGTATTTGATAAACTAAAATGTAATAACAGTTAAGGATGTTAAATCAACAAAAAAATATATGTATTGAAGGATTAAGCAGATGACATGACAAAATAATACTGTTAGAAGTATATGAATGTATTATGAGTTATTTTATTCTTAACGAAAGCCTAAAAAATCCAATTTGTCCCTGGCATTCTAATATGGTACTCGAACCCATTACCTTTCGCATTCCGGGTGAATACAAAACTGATTAAAAATATATAATAAAAAGTTTGATAACAAGATTCAGGCAGTGTTCTACTGTAAAGTTAATAAATACTTACTACTTTATAGATTATATTATACAAAGTATTCAATACTATACCACAACAATTGAAACATGGACTAAAAATGATATTTCGTCCCTAGGGAAATGTTTAGTGGGATAAAAAGTATCCTATTATCTAAGTCAGCTAATAGTCTATCTGTATATCAAATTTCATCAAAATCCGTTCAGTAGTTTATTCTTATATGATAAATCTACTTATATAGCTTTCTTCTATATAAAAATCAATTGCTTTTCGTTTGTCTCGCTTAAACTCGAGAACCGATGGGCCGATTTAGCTTATTTTGGTTTTGAAAATTTTGTCGTAGTCCAGGAGAGGTTTAAAAGGTGAAATATGAAGAACGACAGGTCATCTAATTTTGTGTTGATAGTAGAGGTAGAATAGTACTACCGTTTCATTTTACCTAAAATATGCATGATTTAACGTTTACTAACCTATTTAATATGTATGTTGATTGCATAATATAATTAAATGTCGCTCTAGAATTAAAAAGGTTGACCATGCAATACTTTTTTTTTAATTATAGAAAAAGTACCCTATTACATCACTGCTACCAAATCGAAGGTGTAAAACGGCGCAATGATGAAGCGAGTATGGAACAGGTGCTACCAGAATATAGCTGTTTGCTATTGTCGCCTGCAAACCTATGGCAACAAAATTTACAATCGTTTTCACTGGATGCTAATATTGTAAACACTATCTTCAAGTATGAGGTACTTTTTACAAATAGCTTTTCATATATATATATATATATATATATATATATATAGATATTGTACTAGCCTTCCGCTTCGCCCAAGTGATCTAGTTTTAAGTCCAAAATGAGAAAATTCAATAAAAACTTTGATCCTCTAATTTACCCCCTAAGGGGTCGAATTTCGTAAAATCCCGTCTAAGTGAGCACCTACGTAATAAAAGAAGCCGCATGCAAAATTTGATACATATGTATACATAATAAATTTCAGTTGCGTTGCTCCAAATCAACTTTAAATAAAGCAGAGGTAATCCATAATTTTCATGACCCAATCTGACTATTTAGTTAGAAATTAGAGTGAGTTCTATGATATCACAGCCTTATATAGAATAATTACAAGTATATTTTTATTCTCGCCTTCATCACTGCTCACTGTGCAAGATACTTTCACTAAATTCCTTTGTCAATCGAATTAAACCTTATTTCCTTTTCTTATCTTGAAGTGATTATATAATCAACGGAATCGTCCGCGACAGACAATGTCATAAATCGGTCGTTAGTTAGGATAAGCCTTATCTTATTAATTATCTTAATTGTATTCGTAGTGTGTGTAATAATATATATTTACTATCTAATGTTATTTTAGAAGTACTTAATTTTAGTTTTGATAGCTTATATTTTTACAATAGAGAGATCGATGGGTCTGGTATGCATACCCGCTCTAAACTTAAATAATTTGGGTTTCATTCAACGTAATCACATGTAATCAAAGAAAATGAATTATAGTTTAACTTCTGTTATCTTAGTTATTTACAAAATTAAAAGCGATTTGACAAGACTCTAACTAAATTTAGCGTAGTTTGTGCAACATAATTGCTACCAATACTTTACTATATACAACTTCATAATTCAAAAATTCTGTATTGTATGTAGTATGTGTTAAAGTTTAATTTATGTTTTCAGAAAAGCAAACCCATTGCTGAAATGACCTTTGGTATGCAACTTCGTGACACGGGCATCAAGCGGTATCCTCTCCGCGCTCGACCACGTGTCCTGCAATATGCTATCACTATATTTTATCGAAATCCCGAACAAAGGTACCTCTTATTATATTAAAACCACAAGTTACTGAATATTGGGGGTTAAAGTAAGAAATGGCGATTTATACGTATTTTTCTAAGATGTTATTCGTTTAATCAAAATATTTACCTTTACTATCTATACATTTTTGCTATCTAATCTCAAGTTCATTTATGCCTTTGCATAATTATATAGAAATCTGAGGATATAGATCTTGATTAGACAATTTAATAAAATAACTGTAGAAAATTGTTTAAATCACGAAGAATAAGGTAATGCAAGGTCTGGCGAGCACGGACGATGACGTACTAACTGCAGTTGTACAGTTACAAAGATTTCTCATGCAGTGTGAGGTCTCTGTTTATCGTGAAGTAATAATGGTGAAAATCGAGTCGAGTCGCGGCTGTTTCACTTCTAGTTTGGCCATCATTGTTCGAAGTACATTAAAACAAACATCTGTTGTTATTGCTTGATCGAAAGCTTTAATGAAAAACATAAATAGACCACCAAATAATTACCATGACCTTTTCATTGCTAAGTTTTGCTTTAGAGCATTATAGCGGCGTTTCACCTGAGGTCAAATTATTTGCATCGGATATCGTAAAGATTCTCTTTTCGTCATATGTCACAATTCGATACTTCATTTCTATACCGATTCGACAAGGCAACGCCCGGTTCAACACTACTGCAGATCAGATTTCTATTCCAAGAAGAGTCACTATCTCAACACAGCAAATCGCTTCAGAGTAACTATCTTGATACGCCACATTACAAAAGTAATTATCTAAATACTGTCTATAGTTTTATTCATTAAAATAGCAATACATCTGAAATGTAGCTAATATCGATCAACCGATATAAACGTCCAAAGAATAAAGTAAATATAGAGCATAAACAAAAGTTTAGGAATAAGCGTCGATAGATTGACACTTGGCAGTTCGACATTTCGGTGTCGGTCATGCTGTTTTGTGTTTATAATAAAATATGCAATGTATTTCTTATCTTAATTAGATAATATATAACAATTTAATACCATTAATTATGCACTTGTGAACTTGGACGGTAGCAAAAGAAAGATATTTAGATCATTGTTAGTTTATGAAAACAAGGTCTATTGTAATGCATATTTTCTCGATATCCATTTTTCACGAAAATGGCGAATTGTTAATTATTTATTGTCACTTTTTAATGCGGTCAAAAATATGTCTTAAAACACCAGTGGTTAATACATATAAATAAATCATTATTTTTGGTAATAACTGTAATGCAATATAGTACAGAAAAAGGCTATATCCTTTAAAAAAAAAATTCGGAAATGATGCTTTAAATGGTTTCATGGCCCATCCTCCTTAACCATCCATAAGGAAGGCCTGAGCCCCTGCAGTGGGGACGTAAAAGGGCTGGTGATGATGTGGTGGTGATGTGGTGATGTGATGCTTTAAACCAGTGTTTTTCAACCTGTGGGTCGCGACTCCCTGGGGGGCCGCGGAGCTTTTGTAGGGTTCGCCATAGGTCGAGAGAACTTTAGTAAAAAACAATAAAGATTAAAAAGATTGATTTATTAAGTAGGAGAATTTTAACAAAAGGATATACTCATAAATATTTGTATGTTAATACAAACAAATTAACAAAAAATAAAATTCTAAGACTCTTGTTAATGCGAAGGTTGTGCTTGTTTTTGATTTATCAATTTCTCCCATCGTGGATCTGTATTTGCTACACAAAGAATTAAATCGTTTTCCAGATGAATTATGAAATTATGTAGAATTGTAGACGCTTAAAAACTTTGTATGGAATGAATATTTGTAATACTGTAAGTAACCGTTACAGTGTAACGTACATATAATTACATTATATAAAAGCGAAGGGTCGGGGGGGGGGGGGTCGCGATATATTTTTTATATCTGGGGGGGCTGTCAAAAAATTTAATTGATCTATCAACTTTTTTAAGAATAAGAATAATTTATTGATCTCAAAATTAAAACAAAACATACAAGAACGTACATTAAAGGAACACATAATACATAAGATACACAGAGGACGAAAAATAACAGATGCTTGTAAGAGATCAATTAGGACTCTGCATCACTTGATGTTGGCATGACACACAGGAGTGTCACACCAACGCTGGTATTCTGGCAGAGCCTGTGTGGTACGCGAAACAAACGGTTCAAAACAAGGACCTCACACTTATCATGTCTAAAAGTTTCACTCGAAAATTGTACACAATGGTTTTATATCAATTCAAAGTATCGATAACTATAAAGCGGCGATTTCATACTTTAACCCCTTTTACTAATAAATAAACAATTTTTACTGATTGTGCCTTTTTGTTCCAGATTTATTCAATCGCTTAGTAAAAAATTAAGAGAAATGTACCCCTTATATCAAGAAACTTATGATCGCATTAACGAATTGACATTAATTTTTTATCCTGGCCAATTCAATTATAGGGAACTAGTACCTCTGCTGATAACTTTTATAGGATTGTTCTTGTATGTTTATTTTTCAGTAAGAAAAATAGAGTTTATCAAATCAAAATTTGGCCTCGCGGCATCTGCCGTGGTCACTGTAGCCGGTAGTTTATCTATGTCCATGGGTATCTGTTTTTACTTCGGATTTTCTTTAAGTCTTCAAGGTAAAGAAATTTTCCCTTATCTAGTCATTATAATGGGTCTTGAAAATGTATTGGTACTCACCAAGAGTGTGACATCAACGGATTCGAGGCTCGACGTCAAGATACGTTTAGCGCAGGGCTTGAGCAAGGAAGGATGGTCAATAACAAAAAATTTGCTCACCGAAATAACAATATTCACTGTCGGATTTTTTACATTCATGCCATTCGTCCAAGAAGTTTCAATTTTCATGATTGTGAGCCTCCTATCTGATTATTTCATTCAATTGGTGTTTTTCGCGACGATACTTGGCATAGATGTGTGCCGGATGGAGTGTTTCCAGGATCAAAATGACAAGTTACATTTGAAGGGCTATTATAGTCCTTCCAACGCTTTGAATTGGCGTTTCAGTAGGAATTATTTGGAGGATAATGATTATGCACCACGAGCAATGAAAAAATCTAAATCACATCCGAGATTAAATGGATTAGTTCAAAATAGTCCAACAGATGTGGTGGCAAAGAGAAACGCAAGCCCTGGACACCAGGACAACAGAGTCCCCAAGAGAATACGCCTCTTTAATCTCTGGGCGAGAACGAGATTTTTCCAAAGAGCTTTCATGGTGTGGATGCTTGTCTGGATATCTATGATAGTCTACAACTCTGATGTTCTCGATTACTTTATAGTCAATACTGAGAAAAACGATACCACTACCAAAGATGGAAATGTGAAAACTCACCAAAAAATTGAAATGAAACAATCATTGTTTATGTCTTTCAATACCACCAAAAATAATCCTCTGGTGTTTTCGCCGTTGCCAAATATAGTTGGAAAGGAGAAGTCGCCAGTCGATGCAAATGACACAATCATGTTCAAACATTCGCTGAATTCGAGACCATGGTCTAGGTAATATTTTTAATAACTTATTAGATTTTAACTTATAAATTGAAACCTTGTTTTGACGGAGTACCCTCGCAGTTCCTGCTTGTTATTTTTAATACAAGAAGAAAGAGACGAAAGAAAGTCGCTTAATAAAAATAACTGTAATATCTTATCTTAAAATTGCTTAACTTCCTCTCTCTATTGTGTTATTTCCATCTCATAATTTTTATTTTGTTTGTCAGGCTATCCCCGTACCATTGGTCTACTATATTGTCTCAATACAACGAGTCTGTAGGGGGACGTTTCGCTGTAATACTACCGCCACTTCTACTGTCGCACCGCGTGAGTCCCGAACTAGCAGTCACTGTTCAACATCCAGACGAGAAAGATCCACCGCCACTACGATGGCAGGCGCTTGCTGCTGCTTTAGATCCTATCGACATTATATCAGGTACATACAGAACGAAAATAAACCCAATATGACGTCTACTGCGCAGGTATAATCGGCGTCAAAATTAAAAACTTAAAACGCTTATCCTTTAATAAATATTAGTCAATTAAATAAAAAAATCTATACGAGGGTCAAACTGAAAGTTCTTAGAAAATCAAAAACTGATTACATTAGCCAGTTATTAGTTTTATTATATCTTTTCAAAATATTGTCCATTCACGTCAATACACCGCTGCATGCGATGGAACCACTGGGAAAAGCACTTTGCCCACTCGTCCTTAGGGGTCTCTTCAATGGCATCGCGATACGCAGCCACCGCTTCTTCAGCATTCATAAACCGCTTTCCTTTAAGTTTTTCTTTAATTTTTGGAAATAAATAAAAATCACAAGGCGCGAGGTCGGGGCTATACGGCGGGTGACCCAGTAATTCAACGTTTGATATCGCCAAATAGTCGATCGTTCGCTTGGCGGTGTGCGACGAGGCGTTGTCGTGGTGAAGGAGGATCCTACTGCGAGGTCGTTTCTCTCGAACTTTTTCCAAGACAAGTGGCAAACAATTGGTAGTGTACCATTCTGCAGAAACTGTTTTTTGATCCTCTAACACAATTGTTGCAAAATGACCTATCCTTCCAAAGAACGAGGCCACCATTTTTTTTCCCGCACTTCGATCTCTCTTCACTTTAGTTGGCAACTCCTCGAAAGGAAACACCCACTGAGCAGATTGTCTTTTGGTTTTAGGATCATAACAGTAAATCCAGCTTTCGTCACCTGTTAGTATGTCGAACACAGCATTTGAGTCACCTCCGTTAAATCTTTCAATCATTTTACGACACCAATCCACACGATGGAGTTTTTGAGCCTCAGTCAAATTATGAGGTATCCACCGGGCGCAAAGCTTCCTGACCGCTAAATGTTCGTGGAGGATTTTGTGCACTTGACTCATACCGATGCCTAAGCTTGTCCGAATCTGTTGATAGGTCACTCTTTTGTCAGTCTCTATCATACGCCGCACAACACAGATGTTATCTTCAGTCGTCGCCGTAGAAGGCCGTCCCTCACGTAAATCATCAGTGAGATTAGTGCGACCACGTTTAAACTCATTAAACCAGTTGTAAACAGTCGCACGAGATGGGGCTTCATCGTGAAAGGCCAATCGTAGTCTATCATAACTTTCTTGTTGACTTAAATGACATCGAAAGTCATAAAAAATCATTGCACGAAAATTTTCTCGTGTTAAATTCATGATGACGTGACACAGACAATTTTCAATTTGCCGCCAAATCGTAAAACAAATGACAAATGAATGAAATATATACTCAGTAATATTGGCAAAGAGTTATATTTTCAAATTTTAGAATTATTTTTTTATTATATTGTTTATAAGTGGCCAGTTCTAAGAACTTTCAGTTTGACCCTCGTATATAAACAAGGGACATAGGTACTACCCATTTAATTTTTTTTTTTTTATATAGTTTAAGGAAATGCGCTTAAGTGTAATTTAAAATAACATAACCAATGACTCGCAACAATGACGAAATTCATTTTACCAATTACTTTTTACTTTATTTCTTGAGTGTATTAATCGATTAGAAATTGCATTTCCAAATGGCGGGAAACGAATTGTTAAGGAAATGTCAGCCTACTCGGTTACCTATTTTTCAGTTAACTTTTGTACCGGGTACTTTACACAATATTCTCTTGTTACCATAAACCCATTAATCTAAGGACAATTTCAATAAGTGAAACCGTCTTTAAGAATGTGATTTAAGATACAAAAGTAAATCTTACAATAAAATAAAACTATACGCACCTGCAGTAACATTTCCACATTATTATATTTATTTTGTTCATGAACAACAGCATCAAACACTAATTACGGTAAACCAAACCAGTAAAAATAGAGCTATTCCTCATTAAGTATCCAACCATTCCTAGCCAGGGTCAAAGAGCTGGGGAATCGCAAATATGCATTCCTCCAAATACTCGTTGTGTATTGTCTTCTTAAAAGATGTTGTTCTAATTCAGTTTTGCACAACGGGTGTAGTAGAGAGAATTTTAAATGTTTTTTTGAAGTTTTTTCAATATCGGCTTTGTAAGTTGCTTAACTTATCTTTTTTTTTTTTGATACTGTGCTTCATTTTTATTTGATGTATTTTTGGCAAAATTTCAAAATTCGAAACCGGTAATGTGCGCAAGCCAGAACTGTTGATGCTTTTAAATACCATTAATTTTATACGGTTTTGCTTGCATTGCACTTACCTATACATAATTTGTTAATCACCTGGCAGGTACAAAGTGATCGAAGTGATGAATGATGTCTTTTTGAGAATCTCATTTTTAGTTATTAATAATACCCTATTTAAATTTCAATTTGCCTCAAAACACATTTTTTTTTATTTTTTGTAAAATATTTTTACACGCGTTTTGCAGTGTTAAACTCCGACTAATTCGTCTGGTTTATTATTTTTGTTATTTTTTAAATATAAAACTACAACATATTAAAAATAATAAATTCATATTTTTTAAAATTTCGGGGTTGATTTAGCCCCGCTACTCACCACCAGCCAGTCTGCAGTTCTTTGTTTTGGTATAAAAGGCAATGTAACAAGTTTTCACTTTGCCGTAAAGACCTACCCAAAAATTGGTGCCACCTCCGATTGATATTTGTCTATGTTTGTAGTGTCCAATAAGAAAAGTGATTTTAACTTTATATTTCTATTATATTGGGTAACAATTGAAAAGGGTTGAAAAGCTTTACAAAGATAGAGAGACATTATTAAGTACAGTATGAGGCACAGATTATGACAGTATTTTTGTATACAGATTTTGAACTGATCGAAAACAAGAGAGAAAACCACTGGAGTCAAGGTGCAGAGCTGCCAATCTACCCAACAACACCCATGGAAATTTTACTCCTCGCCATCCTTTGTACAATCAGTGTTGCTGTCATTGCCTATATGATGGTGGTTTTATACAGGTAAATTTTAACTATCCTATTTTTTTTTTATTTTTTTTTTATTTTACCGCTGACTAGGATATTACATTTCATCCGGGGGGATGAATTATATTTTTATGGGAATATTTCAGAGTCAGCCATACCAAGTTATTTATATAACATTATTAGATTTTTTCAAATAACACAGTAAGATAATAATGGTAAAAATGACAATGACCTCGAGGTGTTATGTTATACTGCTCCTTCGTTGTGAACTCGTAACTAGCCTTGGACCTTGTATACTGCAACTTATCATGTGTGGGTGTGTGTCATGTCTAATTTTAGACACATATTTTTTTTCGGTGATATAATTTTATTTTATTATACATACTTTTATGAAAATTACTGTGGTAAAAAAATCTACAAATCCGTTAATGTTTTATATAATTTATTGTAACTCTAATATATCATAATTTTTATATAGATGCATCTGTTCTCGTCATTACGCCGAGTGGCGCGCCTCGTGGAATGAAGATGATGAGTATAAAAGAATCATTGCGAAACAACCAGCTGTACAGGTGTGACATAAAATATATTTATTGTATATATTTAAGTAACGGATATTATGATCAATGACAAATAAATCAGAAACAAAGTACATAGCTTATGTGTTGTATGTATGTGCAATTGTGCATTTTGGTTTCGTTGATTAGTTTGATCGCATCTCGGTTACATTTAATTTTCTAACGTGCTCTCGCTGCAAAACATTATTATTAAAGACAGGCAGACAGTTGAAACAACTGATGTGACCTGCATCCAGATATCTTTTGTGTGATATATTTTATTATTCCTCTTTGTGTAGTTTGTCTAGTCTATTTTTAAATTGCTTTGTGGTATGTGCTGAATCTACACCTGCCAGTAATCTGTACCGAGCTACTTACCACTCCATTACTAATAAAATGATTGCTTGGATTCAGACGACGCATTTTTGTCAACTTTAGATGATACCCGTGAGATGTTGTAATATCCATGCAGTATTTTATGTAGTAGTACATAAAATACTCAAGATCTATTTATAATCAAATATTAATACTATATATATAGTAATCCTTAATTCGTGCAGCGAGCGAGCTACTGCGCGAATTTTATATTGCTATAAGGGGTAATGATAACCCCCGAGCACCGTATTGTATTTTACGACCCGTGCTTTCTAGTTTAAAGTTTTGCTAAGAAGAAGTTTCCCACCACTTCATTTACACTGATCCCAGCAGCCACTCTCTTTTCCATATAGCGGTGTACCTTCCACCCAAGATATGCAATACAATTCACTTATTTACACTATATAATAAAACGTCATTCTTACATTTGTTCTGGTATCATATCTTTACTTTATCAAATATATAAATACATTATTTTTATGTAATTTGTTTGTTAAAAAATCACAAAGATCAGTAATAATTTTAGAAAAACATATGATTTATATATGTCGATGGCATTTTACAGAAAATATATGAAAGAATTGGTTTTTATAATAAATTTCAATAGCTACAACTGCAACTTGATACCCAAAATATATATACGATAATTTGATATACAATAGTTGGTGATGGAGGCAGTTCCCGTGGTGGTAGCTGGGCATGTACAAGAAGTAGAGTGTCTCGTGACTGATGGCGAAAAGATCGTCAGTTCCTGCCTCCAAGGCACCATCAAAGTTTGGGACTCCCAGAACGGAGAAATTCTCACCAACATAGACCGTTGCTCGTAAGTAAACAAATCTGAAACTCTAACGGTACATAAACATATAGAATAGTTTGTTGTACACCTAATATGCATTAATTGACTGATACGTAGAGGTTGTCAAATATTGGGTATGTTCCGATATACACTGCGAGCACTGCGCAGTGGTCTTACTGCTGAAAAATCCGTTCCGTTATGGACTGCCAGTACACTGCTACATTACCCTATGGAAATTTATGACGTCATAAATTGCCGCCATATTTGTACTGTGAGCACTCGAGATTTCGAGGTAAGGTGCTCGCAGTGCTTTTGATCACGTGATCAGTCGAAACAGAATCAGAAAATGATAAGTTTCTAAATAAACAAAAAAAAAAATACTTACGTTTATTATAAGATGGATAAACATTTTTTTTATACAATTTTCCAATTTTATAATATTTTCTTTTGAAAAGAGGGAATATTTATATTCACCTTGCATTGACAAATTTGAAAATGGCGCCAAAAAATAGGATTAACAGTATACTGGACTGCGTTCCGTTTTAAAAAGTCACCAGTATAACTAGCTATAAAGGAACGGGCTTCCAGTATACTAAATTGACGTCATACTGTTCAGTGGTCGCAGTGTATATCGGAACATACCCATTATCGATAAATATTTGTGATAAAGTATTCTTTATTTCGGTAAATCAACAACCAACAATTGAAGGGTGTTATAATATAATATTAAGTATTGTTTAAAGATCACATATAACACTAGATAGCATCGTCCGTCAACCAAAGATATTTATTAATTATTAAGATATACATTATGTTTAAAAAAATAATACTTAATCAATATTAGAAGATGCTGATGATTTAATATTTTGTATCTAACATCTTTGTTATCATCTAATATCAAAAATGCTTTCAGATACTTCCAACTACATAATGAACTTTACAGAAAAGTTGATACAAAGAAAATCGAAATCTCAGATACGATTGAAGGTAATTTCTGAATTCCTACATAGTGTAAATAGTATTATATTGAAGTTACCTCCTAGATAGATTGTCCATTAACCAAATCCATTTTCTATTGGTTTATTTACATCGACTCAATTTTATTTATTCTAGTTGAGAGGTAAAACATGAATTTCTATTTCCAAATCGATTTTATTGATCATAATCTAGAAGTCCAATTAGGGAGTTGTTGAATTAAGATATACCCCTTATTGATTCTTTTTTCCAACTTGAAATTCAAATAAAATGTAATTTGTTAATCCCATTCAAATTAGACTCTAAACGTGGCAATTTGTTTTGTGACGTCAGTGTTCAAAGTGACACTCATATGACAAATCGATAGGCCATGAACAGATTCAAATCAAAAATAGTATTTTTTATTATTTGTATTTGATTTTTACCAATCTCAGTCTTTTTCTTGTTTCTAGAAATCCAACACGAGAATGTCTTCCCGCAACATAACGAGGTACTAATTCAATGTAATTACGAATTAACTTGTGAAATAAAGAAGTTAATAGTTATAAACTATTAATGTAATTCATTCACACTTGTCTTAAAATGTTTATTTGGTTACTCTAACACGATACATAACATACTTGATATTGTTTCCTAAACTTATTTTTAATTTAAATGAACTCCACTGTCGCAGGTAAAACTGTATGGCTGTTTGTATGCAATCTTGAGCAATAATAAAAATTAAACAATACAAACACTACTTTATATCTTCTTTTAATTTTTATTGTTGGCAAAATGTTTATAGCTAACTTTCATACAGAGTCATATGTTGTTTATCGCATTGTTTACATAAATGTCTGCATAATTGTCTACTTGACTGATTTGGGAAAAGGATTTTAAAACTCATAATATTAAACCACTATCAGATTTACTTTTCTCCGAAAACTATTGTTATATGAAAAAAAACCACATGTTTTTATTAATCGAATTAATTTTTTCCACGTAAACAATAAGTCACGTGACATTTCGAGCCGTGATGCCACACATCAATAAACATGAGTACTGGTTGTCTTCACAACAAAGTTTTTTTGATATGTGACGTCAAACAATGCTCCATCAGGGTAAAACAATCCATTGTTCCAAAGAAAAAGTGCTTGTGTAATTATTTTGCTAACTTAATGTTTATTTAACGTTCGGTAAAAGTAGATTATACAAAAAACCTAAAAAAAAGTGTCTTTCTCAATATATATAATTGGTGTTAAAATGTTATAATAAAATAAGTACAATACGTACCAATTAACACACCTGACGACCATTATACCATATATCATTTGTCCTCAAACGAAATATCGAAGAACTTCGAATCATTTTCATAATTTTTTTAAACTGATATCCGTGTAGATTATATGTGCGTTAGAATAGGTCTTCAGGTGTCATGTTAGTTCACACCTACGAGTCGCATGTATAATTCGAATTTAAAGCCAATTCATTTGTTTCCGTCATCAAGAACATGCCGAGGCTACGAAAAAGATTGAACGAGCACCTGAGCGGACTGACTTTTCGCACCGAATCACGTGAGTCACCACCCCAATTGTCCGTTGCGGAAACTACTAGATACAACTTTGCAAAAAGTTATAGGTAAGAGTTTTTTTTTTCTATTTACTTTAAAACTATTTTAAGAATCTTAACAACAACTTCTTATTTATTTTTTTATAACTTAAATATCTCGTTTTAGGGATTTATATTACAGCGATCAATCTCAGGACATTTACAACTGCAATGAAACTATGGACACACAAAATCGCGCACAGAGGGAACCTAGTGTTAGAACTGCAGAACAAAGTGACATGTGTGATAATAATATTTTGTTGAATGACAATAGTGAAGTGAACCTTTTACATAATAGAAATAAGAGTAGGTTAGTGAGTGGTAGCAGTGTTGAAAACAGAACAGACAGTGTAGTGCATCCGGAGGCGGTCACAAACTCTAATTGGAGAGGTGCACTTATCACAGAATCTCCCATTTGGTGTATGGACTTTTGCAACGACTTGATCATAGCGGGTTGTGCCGATGGAAGAATCGAGTTTTGGGAGGCGAGCTCGGGCAAGTTGATGGTAAGTAAACCTACCAACTCTAATCTAAAATAATCTAAACTTATGGGACCACCATCAGCTGGTTCTTTCCATTAAACATTGGACTTTGGCATTGCTCCGTACTTACCCTTCTAGTAGTATACACCATATTACTAGCTGTTGGCGAGTGCACCTACGTAAATTACGCCCTATGTATGATTTTTAAAATCGATTGAGTAGTTTTGGAAGCTATTCATTCCTCTTTACATCCCACCGCTCCCCGGGCGCGGTACATACACTGTAATATTTAAATAATTTTACAACGCTGGGCCATAATGAGTATGGGTTTATAGAATTCGTCTACCCAAAAATAAATAAATACTTGTTCTACCCCAGAAAAAAAAAACTTGTCAAGGAAACTTACTATAAGGTGTCTGATTATATAGCAGATAAATATGCTTGGACTCGAGGTGTTCCTGCCATTTTGATAGTTTCGCCATGCTCGTCTATCCGTCCACCCGGCCGCGGTTTAGCTCAATATCTATAGAAAGTTATAATTCGACGTATTATTCGATTATTTAATCAAAAACTCTTCGTACACCTTATAGGCTACGATGGGTGGACATTAAAAACCCCAAGTGAAATAAAAGAAAAATATCGCACACCACAAACATGTACAATATAAAATCCGACTTGACGGAGTCTAGCGGAAGTAGAGGAAGGGTGCCGTATGAAGTTTTTGCCCCGGTTGAAATAAAAATCTTAGATCCGGGCCTGCTATTGATTTTGTTAAATAAATAAATATATATGTTAACCAATGATTTAGACGAGTTTTTTGAGTGTCCGTTTACGTGTTCGTGTAGTGTATACGTCGGAGTGGTGGGTTGTCGTGCGGCGTGACGCACGTGCGCGCTCTGTCGGGCGCGCGACGCGTGTGCGCCGCCACACTCAGCGGACACATCACTCTGCTGCGTCTGGACGCGCACAATACTGCCTCCGGTACACTAGTCGACTGGCGGTTTAGTACAGCACATCGCCGGAGTGAGAATTATATACATTATTCATTTAACAAGCAGCCGCGAAACAAATGACAGTTGCACGAACGTCAATTAAGGTTTAATGACGGCTTTAAACTCTAATTAATGTTTTCCATTTGAAAATTGATATCGATAATGTCGCTTTAAACAAATGATCATTTTAGTGGTTCGTGCAAGGGGCAGCAAAGATTTCTAATTATTGATTGCAGTGCCAATCGAGAGTGTAAAAGAGGGGCCAAAGTTTCATTGAAACCATGTTCTGACCAAAAAGTAAATGTATATGTATATTGAGGGGGGCGAGACACAAAACTGGAAGAACCAATAGCCGTTAGGGCGAAAAGGTTCTGGAATAAACCGTGACGTTCTAGGCTAAGCCGCTGTATACGGGCAGCGCAGGACCGATCGTCGTGGAGATGTATGGGGGACGCATCTGCTCAGCAGTGAGCATCGTACGGCTGTTCATAATGATAATATATCAAGGAGGAAAAGAAAACTGAGAAAAAAATTAAACAATAAGCTTTTTGTCTTGTAATTTATTTTATGTCGTCAATGGACATATATCATTATAATATCAACCAAAAATCCACCTCGCCCCGAGGTACTCTGAGATGGGACTCAAACATTGGTCGTGAATATTGATGAAGAAGAGAACAGTGCAGAAAGATTCGACAGTCTAGGTCCTGGATAGCTCAGTGATAGCAGTCGCCGGGATTGCGAAAGGTTGTGGGTTCGAGTCCCATCTCAGAGTATCTCGGGACAAAGTGGATTGGTTAAGAATATTTCCCAATATAGCATTGGAAAATATTCTTACATTTTAACCACAGAACATAGAGAGAGATTAGAAGTAGTAAGTGGGCGGGGCAAGCGTGGCTGGCATATGCGCTTTTACTCATATGACGCCCTTTCCTCGGTTTTACGTTTGCCAGTCGTTCGTCAATCGTCGAGTGGTGATTTTACAGATTTTTTCTATAAAAAATACCGTTTTGTGCTATTATCACTTGCAAAAAGCAAAGCAAAGTATACAATCTAACTAATGCAAACATTTCCTTTCACTGGTAAATACAATTTTAGTGCTAAAATATAAAAAACGTAATAATTTGACACAATGTCAAATAAAATATACATTGATTGCTCAAACCAACATCAATGTTTCTGACCCCATTACTAGACAGCAATGTAAATCATTTTGTGCACTTTTGCAAAAAATAGTGCTGTGCCTCCATTTGTCTGAAATGTACCGATAGGCTGCTGCTGCTCGGAATCGTATTGTTAATTATATGGATCGTAATCGATAACTAAAACATATTTATTTAGAGCTTTTCTTTCATCATTTCATAACAACGTTATGGATAAGTATATGCCATAATTATATAAAACTAAATAATACTGTTTACAAGAGAAAATAATAGATAAAACTTATACTGAACAAATGAAATAATGAACTATCCAGGCACTTTTTTACGAAGATTCAGTTAATTAATTACACGCAGATAGATATTAAAAAATTCTGATGTGCTATAAATAATAAGTGCTTGTAATAAAGAAATGAAAATATCTTTATTACAAGCACTTTTGATTCGTCCAAAAAATTTTTTTCCCCTACCACTTGTTCAGGACGTCTTTTAGCTGACAAGAAGAACAAGCGAAAGAAACTTACCAGCTCTTTGTCATAAGTAATAACATTTACATAAATCATGTCATTTCATATCAAATCACAATAATAAATAAACTTCCAAAGTCTGTAGGACATAGGTTGAACATATAATTAGTCTTTATAGAACAAAGCGAAGGCTATTCATTCCATGCATTGCGATCCTTAAAATAATCATCAACTTTATAATAGCCTTTACTCATAAGTATGTTCTTTACATGAATTTTAAATTTATTTATGCGTAAGTCAACTACATTTTGCGGAACTTTATTGAACATAGCAATGCATTTACCCAGAAATGATCCTCTGGTTTTCTGAAGTCTGAAGCTTGGAACGGCAAGTTTATTTTTATTTCTTGTGTTAAGATTATGAACACTACTTTTTTTGTGAAGGAATCGTAATGTTTTCTTGCGTACTCATATTTTCATAGATGTATTGAGAGGCAACAGTCAAAATATTTTTTTTTTAATATTTCTCTGAGAGATTCTCTAGACCGTAAATTATATATAGCGCGGACAGCTCTCTTTTGTACAATAAAAATATCTTGAATGCTAGCCGCAGAACCCCACAACAATAGACCATACGTCATTACACTATGAAAATAACTAAAATATACCAATCTTGCCGTTTCATCATTTGTCAAGAGTCTAATTTTCTTAACAGCAAATGCTGCAGAACTCAGTCTACTTGACAAATTATCAATATGAGGATCCCATTGCAGTCGGGAATCTAGTGTAATACTAAGGAAGTTTGGTCGATTCCACAAACTCAACTTTTTCACTATTTAAATTTATAAGTGTATTAACATTCCCCACATTAGGTAATGCAAATTTTATGCATTTCGTTTTATTTGAATTAAGCTTTATATTATTACTATCAAACCACTGTAGAACATTGTGGAACTGAATTACATTTAACTGTTTAATAACAAAATTTAAAGCTCTTATTTTATCAACTAATATTATGTCCCATCACTAATATGCACAATCGGAATGATACCAGTAAGAAAAAAAAAATTAGGCTTAATGTGATTAATACAAAAAAATCTGTTGTTTTATTATTTTTGTTTTTTTTACACTTTCCCTCGCCTAATTATATTACTCCACAGACATATGATCAAAATCAAAATCAAAATTTATTTATTCAGTTTAGGCTTTTACAGAGCACTTGTGAATGTCGAAAACTACGCCATCGGTTCGCAAAACTACAGCGAGAGACCTTGTATTGAGAAGATCCGGCAAGAAACTCAGCAAGGGCTGTTTTTTTTCTCCCTGTTTTATTTCACACATAGAAGTCTTATTGAAAAATGATAGAGTTTATCATTAAGTTTTCTTAGTTTTTGTACTGCGTTTTTTTTATCAGATATTTTATTAAATTATATAGGGAAAAGCGTTATTTTTCACTATTCACTTGGTTACAGCAAAATCTAATCTTAATAGTTCGCACATAAAATGATGTCCCAAATTTTTAAAATGTGCATCATCTTAAAATATTTTTTCCCTTTTGGTATCCCCGTATACAAGCTGGACAGTCACGTGACAGTTCAACATTCATGTTAAAGTAAATCATTTATTATCACGTTAAATTAAAGTTTGTTTTTAATTGTGTGATTTTTTAGCTTAGTATCTTTTTGGAATTTTGTTTATGTTATCGCGAACGTATCGCGTGGCGGTTTTTCATGTAGTGAACAAAATGATTATTTCATCTAATCTGCATTTGTGTGCGGAGAGGCGACACTCGGTTCCCATACTAAATTAATATCATTATACTTCTATCTATCTCTATGTTCTGTGATTTTAACTACTTATTTAATACTTACATTTTAACCTGTTGTTGAAAAATTATCAATAACTGTATCATGTAGTAGCTCGGTGACGTAATGGATAAGCGCCGCGGCCTGCGATCGTAGTCGTTAAGCAACTTTCGCAAGGGTCGGTTACGGGATGGGTGACCAAAAAAATAAAATCTCGAGCTACTCCGTGCTTCGGAAGGCACGTTAAGCCGTTGGTCCCGGCTGCATTTGCAGTCGTTAATACCCTCCAATCCGCATTGGGCCAGCGTGGAGGGTCATGGCCCATCCTCCTTAACCATCCATAAGGAAGGCATGAGCCCCTGCAGTGGGGACGTAAAAGGGCTGGTGATGTGATGATGATGGGTCATGTATTTCAACAGCACACAAACGCACAGGGTCTGCCGGTTCATTGCGAAACTTACAAGGCGGCAGTGGCGATAACCGCAGCAGAACGAGAACCGAACTTGCTGACGCAGAAGGTAATGCAATGTTTGATAATTCCTTATAAAAATGTTTTTGACAAATACTGTTAAGTTGAGTGTAACTATCGATTAACTATTCCCTCTTAAACAAAACAATTTTTTTGCCACCTATTTATCATAGTTAATCTGTAAATACTCAGTATAATAAACAGTAGACAATAATATAATTATATTAATATTATAAATGTGAAAGTTTTTTTGATGTTTAGATGATTGGATGTTTGTCCGTCAATCACGCCGAAACTACTGAACGGATTTTTATGAAATTTGGTATACAGATAGGGTATCAGCTGACTTGTATAATAGGATACTTTTATCCCACTAAACATTTCCTTAGGGTCCACGCGGGCGAAGCCGCTGGCGAAAGCTAGTAATATATATATTAAACATCACATACGTTACTCAGATTCCAAGATGAGTAGCTAAAGCTCTCGTGTTATGGAGTATCTGAGACAACTAAGGTAACACAATACCCAGACCCGAGGCAATATAGAAAAGCTCATTTTCTACATTGACCCGACCGAGAACCGAACCCGGGACCTCAGAGATTGAAACCGACACCTTGAAACCGGCGTGCGAACCACTCAGCTACGGAGTTTTCCGGATATAACAAAGCTGAATCTTTGATTTGATTAAAAACAATAGACATCTCAACACCTTTCCAATTTAAAGATGTTGAGTTTGAAGAACTTGAAAAATTTAAAATTATTGTTGTTAATCAATTTTGCATTCACAACGCTATAACGAAAGACGCAGCGTGGGTCGACCCCCGACTAGATGGACGGACGTCATCGTCCGAGTCGCGGCGGCCACTGGATGCAGCTGGCGCAATGTCGTCCGTCGTGGCGTTCAAAGGGGGAGGCCTATGTTCATCAGAGCTTCCGGCTGATGATGATGATGATGAACGCTATAATGAAAATGCTTAAAAATCCACTTTGTGGACACACAATGCCAGGGCATTCTGAGATGAGACTCAAACTCATGTCCTTTCCCAATCCGGGCGACTGCTCTAACCACTGAGCTACTCACAATCTAACAGGACTGACGAATTTTTCAAACACTTGTCACTTTTTCGCTACTACAGAGCGTATTTTTATCAATGTTCTGGCAATTCAATCAAACAGCCGACAGAAATATAAATTACTAGCTTTCGCCAGCGGTATCGCCCGCGTGGGCCCTAAGGAAATGTTTAGTGGGTTAAAAAGTATCCTATTATCAAAGTCAGCTGATACCCTATCTATCTGTATACCAAATTTCATCAAAATCCGTTCAGTAGTTTCGGCGTGATTGACGGACAAACATCCAAACAAATAAACTTTCACATTTACAATATTAATAGGATATGATTTTATACATTGTTTTATATGTTGTGTATGTGTTTTCAGAGGTTGTGTGTGTGCGTGTAGCTCAATGTCGACCACACCAACAACCTATCACTGAGATGCACTCAGAAGGCGAGCGGATTCTCACCGGTGGACAGGACCATGTGCTCAAGGTATTTGATGTAATTTATCGTAGAAGAGCTGACCCGAAAGACGTTGTCCTGTCTTAATACATATATGAATATTTAATTCGAACAGTATTTTTACATCCTATTTGACGATATTTGTAGTACGCATTCTGTCAATCTTATATTAAACGTCACAAGGTTACGTTAAAAAAGATAATATTATCCAAAGTGCTAAGGTGAGATAAGAAATAGTTTTATATGGTGGTTAAATATTCTGAAGTTTTCAAACTCTACACATTTTTTTATCTTTTTCTTTCATAAGAACCTTCTCCGGACAATAACAAACACAAAAAAAAAGAATTAGCGTAACCGATCCAGACGTTCACGTGTTATGATGTGACCAAGGAAAATAGGGATTCATTTTTATATATACAGATTAAACTTTTAATGATTATTGTAATAGATCACAGGTGAAATGTAATAGAGCCTTTAAGATTAACACGAGAGACCAGAGGGCCTGGCGCCGTTTGTCCTCGAACGAAAATTCGAAAAATCTTTCTTATAATTCTATTAATATCCGTGAAGATCATAAATTATCGAAAAATGCGTTTCTTTGGGGTTGTATTAAATTTTCGAAAATAGAAATAAAATGAAAATATCTTTATTCAATTAGGTTTATTACAAGTATTTGAATCGATCAAATGTTTTTTTCCCTACCACATGTTCAGGACGTCTTTTAGCTGACAAGAAGACAAAATAATCGATAGGTATCATGTTAATTCGTACGACAGTATTTAATACTCGCTCAAACTTTGACTTTACGAGGGTCAAACTGAAAGTTCTTAGAACTGGCCACTTATAAACAATATAATAAAAAAATAATTCTAAAATTTGAAAATATAACTCTTTGCCAATATTACTGAGTATATATTTCATTCATTTGTCATTTGTTTTACGATTTGGCGGCAAATTGAAAATTGTCTGTGTCACGTCATCATGAATTTAACACGAGAAAATTTTCGTGCAATGATTTTTTATGACTTTCGATGTCATTTAAGTCAACAAGAAAGTTATGATAGACTACGATTGGCCTTTCACGATGAAGCCCCATCTCGTGCGACTGTTTACAACTGGTTTAATGAGTTTAAACGTGGTCGCACTAATCTCACTGATGATTTACGTGAGGGACGGCCTTCTACGGCGACGACTGAAGATAACATCTGTGTTGTGCGGCGTATGATAGAGACTGACAAAAGAGTGACCTATCAACAGATTCGGACAAGCTTAGGCATCGGTATGAGTCAAGTGCACAAAATCCTCCACGAACATTTAGCGGTCAGGAAGCTTTGCGCCCGGTGGATACCTCATAATTTGACTGAGGCTCAAAAACTCCATCGTGTGGATTGGTGTCGTAAAATGATTGAAAGATTTAACGGAGGTGACTCAAATGCTGTGTTCGACATACTAACAGGTGACGAAAGCTGGATTTACTGTTATGATCCTAAAACCAAAAGACAATCTGCTCAGTGGGTGTTTCCTTTCGAGGAGTTGCCAACTAAAGTGAAGAGAGATCGAAGTGCGGGAAAAAAAATGGTGGCCTCGTTCTTTGGAAGGATAGGTCATTTTGCAACAATTGTGTTAGAGGATCAAAAAACAGTTTCTGCAGAATGGTACACTACCAATTGTTTGCCACTTGTCTTGGAAAAAGTTCGAGAGAAACGACCTCGCAGTAGGATCCTCCTTCACCACGACAACGCCTCGTCGCACACCGCCAAGCGAACGATCGACTATTTGGCGACATCAAACGTTGAATTACTGGGTCACCCACCGTATAGCCCCGACCTCGCGCCTTGTGATTTTTATTTATTTCCAAAAATTAAAGAAAAACTTAAAGGAAAGCGGTTTATGAATGCTGAAGAAGCGGTGGCTGCGTATCGCGATGCCATTGAAGAGACCCCTAAGGACGAGTGGGCAAAGTGCTTTTCCCAGTGGTTCCATCGCATGCAGCGGTGTATTGACGTGAATGGACAATATTTTGAAAAGATATAATAAAACTAATAACTGGCTAATGTAATCAGTTTTTGATTTTCTAAGAACTTTCAGTTTGACCCTCGTAAAATGAATTATCTATTATGTTGGTAGGTGTTCTCGAGCACGGACCTAAGTGCCCTATTCACGTTGCATGGTCACTGTGGCCCGGTGACAAGTTGCTTCATAGATCACGCAACGCCCACTATAGCCGGAAGCGGTTCTCAAGACGGATTGCTCTGCGTATGGGATCTACATACAGGTACAATGAATGCTTTACTTGTTTTCCTAATATAGGAAGATTTTTTTTCAGTGAGCTTTACTATAAGTATGTTTAGGACTTGGTATTTTGATATCGGTGAGTCACTCACAGCGAAACGTGGGACACTTACAGTAGGACTTGACTATAGATGATAGTCACTTAGCGAACTATGGAAAGGGCTATATTCGGAGTTTCTCTGCAGGATCGAATACGAAATGAGATGATTCGTCATAGAACCAAAGTAATTGACATAGCCCATCGAATCAGCAAGTTGAAGTGGCAATGGGCAGGCTACATTGGCCGTAGAACCGATAGTCGGTGGGGCAAACACACTAGAGTGGAGATCGGCAACCGTAGTGTGGGACGCCATCAGACAAAGCGGGAAGACAATCTATGCAAGGTGGCTGGCAGAAACTGGATGCGAGTAGCCGAAAATCGAGTTCGATGGTGTACACTTGGAGAGGCCTGTGTCCAGTAGTAGACGAATACAGGCTGATGATGAGTCACCATACTGTTATAAGTTTAAATTTTCGAAGTCAATATTGAAAAAGACTTCATTATTAGTTTAGTCAACTCAAATGTTGTTGAGTTTCAGGTTCTCGGTACAATGTATCCCGTCATAGATATGGGAACCGATGACCATAGCTTTCGGGTTTCTTCAAATTTTTACGTTACGCATCTCAATATCGACTACTTATATTTTGCTATTGTACTATCTACCTGACATCCAAATATTATTAGTGCAATTCAAACAAATTCTAGTCTTATTTCGAATGAGTAAAAATCATTTTACAACTCTATGTCAACCCAAATTACAGTAATTTTGTAATGTAAATTAATAGATAGTTGTTTATTTTAATACTTTGTCTAACTAAGATAACACGTTTAATTTCAAAGCGTCAAAACTTCCAAAGTTGCCGACGCTAGGTGTCGTTGAAGTCGTCGACATAGCCAATAGAATGAATAAATGATTTTGATGTACTATATTAGGAGCGTGCCTGTACAGCACACAAGCGCATGACGGTGCGGTGACGTCACTCGCGTACACAGCCTCGTACGTAGTGTCAGCGGGCGCGGACGAGAGGCTCTGCATCTGGGACAGATTCCAGGGGCACATGCTCAACTCTATACATATTGTGAGTATCCGATTTGGCATTACTTTGGTACACGCACGCATGTATTTATTGATTTTTGACCTTCCTACCCGACTCTAGCGTTATATAAATTGATATAATTTTAAATTTTAACAAATTGAGTGTATTTTTATTTTTTGATAGTAAGTATATTGACGTCAAACACCTATACATACAAGATTTTGAGCAGCAATGCTCGCTCCTCCATTTTCTGAATAATCTCGTAATAACAGAATAGTCGCGTGCGAGTCTGAATCAGATCGAGCGCTTGAACGTCGTTGTACATTTCAAGTTATATCGTCTGCGATATACTGTACTGTATAACGACGTTCGAGCGCGACGTCCTAATGGTCTCGCATTAGGACATACATACAACTGGATATTGCGGATATAATAATATAATAATAAAAATATACTTTATTGCACACAACAGAACAGAACAGAAACAAGTTACAGAGAATTAAAAAAAATGTATACAAAAGGCGGCCTTATTGCTTAGCAGCAATTTCTTCCAGGCAACCTATGGAGAACAAAAGATAAAAAGGATAAAGATTATATGGGGTATTGAGTGCAACGAAAGGAAGGTTACAAGATATATCATAATAAAAATAATATACAAGGAGATAGAATTAAGGAAAGGAAATGGCTTTCAACTCTATCACCTGATCTGTGATCAATATCGATAATCTGTGAAATTATATGAGTAAACAGTTGAGATACATTTTATTAGGGTGATCGATACATGCGATATCGCTTTGTTGACACCCTTTAATTGTAACGTAATTTATGGATCCCCTGTCGAATCAAATATCACGCCTTAGACTATGTACGCACTAATGACTTTTAGACTCCTTATCGCCTGCCGCTGTGCTTTGAGTCAGTGTTGTGACGCACGCACTTGAACACGTTAAAAATAGGAGGTGACTTCCGTACAAATTACAAAAGCACAATGATCAAAATAACAATAGACCTGAAAACCTGAATATGATTTATAGTAAAAGCTAAGCTTCTCCACATTGCCAACATGTGGAGTATAGCCTAGCTTTAACGAAGAATGTACAGAATAAAATTATAATAACTGCACAAATTTTAATATTGTGCTCCATACTGTAAATTATAATCAGGATTTTCACTTTATTTTCTAATCCTATTAAAATCGGAGATAAAATGTTTGATATAAAGTTTGCTGCACCTGGAGGTTTATGTCCAATTTTTGTCGATAACTAAAACATAACTAATCGGTGACGATATAAGTTAGTACTTCCCTCTCAAGCGCTCGATCCTTGAATTTGAATAATTAGTCCAAGAATAACATTTTATAATACTATTTTACCCAGGGTCTGAACTACATGAGCCGGTTGCTGCCACTTACACACACTCTACTTGTGATGGGAGACAACTGCGGTCTCACTGTGTATGACCTTAGCAGTGGAGACGTTATACGACGGGTCTTGCTTGGTAAATACTTACGATTATTATGCACTCTTAATATATTCTAGGTCAACTCACCTTTGAGGATTTTTAAACGTATAGCAATCGAACAATTTAGTTGTAGTACTTACAACAACAAGACTACTACTACTTAAAAGTTGCATTTAGGTACTCACAAACATGCTCATTAATGGAAAGTGTGTCGTAAGTAATGAGCAGCAAAATCGACACCCCTTTTGATTTTTAAAAATGCTTCCCGACGCGCGTGTGTAAGGGGCGTGCTTTGAGCACGTCTGAACAGGTTTACTTATGAGCGTGCTGAGCGATCAATTAGCGTGCCACTAATAAGCATGTCTGTCAGAACCTTTATTCCGGTCGACCAGATGAGGAACCGAAGTACTAAAAGCAACAGTTTGAGGTTTCAGCCTATTATTGTCCCCACTGCTGGGGCTTTGGTCTTCCCTATGGACGGAATCGAAGCAAATCAAATCGGGAGAATGGGTCATGACCTACCACTCGGGCCCATTGCCGATTGGTGGATAGTAACCACTGCAGATGCAACCGGCACCAACGGCTTAACGTGCCCTCCGAAGCATGGAGAAACTAGAAATAGTAAAGTTTCCAATGACTGGAAATTGCAAAAGTTGATCAACAACCGTATCGAAGGCCGAGCGCGCTAATCACTACTCCGTCGAGCTCCTCAAAGAGCAACAGTTCTTTTGTTATTTAAATCAACCTAATATTGCATTGGTTCGGACAACTAAAAGAACCAAACAAATTGCAGTGATCGATTTGAATTAAACGAAATTAGTTTAGGCTAAGTACTAACAGTGGACGTCTTCCGGCTGATGATGATGATGATGATGATGAAGTACTAACAGTTAAAATATAAATTTATAACTGCACTGTTTTATCTTACAGGTCAGAGTGACGGTTGCATTTTCGTAAGACAAATACTCCCACTAAAAGACGCAATTGTATGCGACTATGCGAATCAATTAAGGATAGTGCGTTTCCCATTGGTGTCAAGACTATCTAGTACAAAGAGGGACTAACAAATACTGCCCAAACATCGCGCACTCGACAATCGTACAAACTTACGAGATATAGAACTTTAAACATAGAACAAAATAACGCCAGCCTTCCTCAGTGTCTTACTAACTAAAACATATTAAATCATTTTAAATCTCACAAGTGTAACAACTTTTCAGATAACAAATATTATATATAATTACTAATTTTAATTTCTGAAGAACTGTAGACCATTTTGCTATTTATTAATTTATTACCACTAATTGAAATAGGTACACTAATATTTACCAATATTTATTAATGTTTTAGTTCTACCCTATATCTAGTCTTTTAACTAGACAACGCAGCTATGTGTTGTCGATAAGTTTAGGTAAATTAAGTTGTACCTATTTCCATTATCGTTTATTTCACATTGAGATAATTTTGATGTATAATTATGTATTTCTGAAAACCGCCGTAATCATGACATATTTATTAAAAATGAATAAAATTATTATTATAATCATTTCGTTTTATTTGGAAACTGTAAATCTCACAGATTTTCTTTTGTTTTTAGTCGGCTCTCAAAATGTCTCTCAAATGAATGACGTTTGACGTCATACAAATCCGTTTACCGTTTGGATTGAAGTCTTACTGAGTGATAAGTGTAAGTTTTACGTTAACGCATTCACTAGTCATAGTGACGCGTTAAGAATTTCTATGGAGAATTATAAGTCTTAGTCGTTATCGCTAGGGGCGCTATACCGAATTCCATACTAAAAAAAACTTTAACGCGCTCACGATCGACGGTGAACGTAAACGTCAGAAAAACTTACACTAAGCGCTGTTTTCCGGCGGCAGAGTTGCAATGACACGTCCTTAATTTTTACGCACACACAAGAGTATATATAATACAAAACAAGTAAATGATTTTATTATACTTTATTATTATAAAACAAGATTGGAGTTTCCGGATTATTTTGAACTATATAAGATTTATAATTACAAGTAACACTTAGGATCTAATGAAAGCAATCGATTTTGTAATGAAATGACAATACATATTACAAACTATGTGAATGACATTTCCATATCCAGCAGGCCCGTACATTATAAAATATTAGAACTAAGTTCTGTTTAAATTATATATTCCATGATTACAACAACAAAACCTTTGCAAAATAATTAACCGCAACTGTAAGATGCACATCACTGTTTCCACCGCCACATACTGCAGTTCTTTTTAGACTGCCTGTCCACCATAGATAATTCTGTCCACTGACGCAAAGTGAGGAGCTATGAGCATTTGAGAGGGCGGCAGACGCGGATGGTTTTGTTTAGTTTTAACAGTTCAGAAATCACTAATTTTGTGCGATCCTATTAATAAATGGACTCTAGTAGTGATTTCTGCTGATAAGTGACTAAAGTTAAGTGTGTGTTATTTCAACTCTATCGACAAGAGCCTTGTCGATGGAAGCTGTAATAAGAATGAATTGAACATAAAGGATTGTGATCCGTTACAATTAAACTAAAATATGCGTCAATGCAAATGTGAAAATGATTTTTTCGTTTGGCTACAATGGTTGTTGTACCTTTAGTTTCAAAAGTTGTTTACCTAAGTATATTATTACATATAATAAGTGCTCTTCAATCCAAAACCACGTAGTCAAATTAAGAAAACTTTTGTTATAGTTAAGATGGGTTCACCATCATTACGTCGAGCACAACATCGTCTAACCATAGAGGTTAAATCAAAATCATTAATACTTTTTGAAATCTGTTTTATTTGGTGGAACATAGAAGCTGTGACAGCGTTGTGCTCTACCTTGTAATCGAGACCGACTTTTTACGCAACGCTGATGACCGTTCCATTTGTCCTGGATCTCCAATAAATAATTGATACTGCTAAGACTTACAAAATGACTAATGACTTACAAAAGCAAATTCTGTATAATACAAAATAATTACGTACATAATGAGTAGGTAAGACTTAAAACTATGTCAAAAGTTATAACCATACAAAACATTTACAAATACCTTTACAAGACAGTTCTATCGCACATTTTATTAAACTTGACGATATAGTACAAATTTATAAATGAATCTTGGGTGTTTTCAACGCATTGGTAAATTTGAATTAAAGTTATATCTACAAAATGTTCTTAATTAAAAAGGATTCCACTTACAATTATTTTCAAAATCAGGAGGGCTGTATCCCTTTAAACATTATTACGAACCAATTACAACAATTTTGGTGATACTCTACACAGAAGTGATATTATTGATCATATGAATATTTCGTTGTCGGTTAGAACTAGGGCCACAACTTATACGACAAATATTAAGAGCAATTTTAGATGACTAATATTTATTCACAAACGTAATATTGACGCTGTTTGAAATAGTCGGGTGTGATGTTATTTTACTGAATTATTACAATATAGAGATGATCACCCCAAATTGGTAGCTCGCCTAATAAGACTTAGTCTTTCGCATCAGTTTCAATGTGCATACAGGAGAGCGCGGGTGTCGGTCGTCCTATCAAAAGCCTTTATACGGATCACAGTGCTGCAGACTGTTTTTGTTGTATTTGGAACTTTATATCAATAAAGTGATTTATAAACTGTTACTTTCAGATCAGAGCACCACGCCTTAAAGGTGGACTTATCTTGTTTATGCCGGCCCAGAAATGGACGAACTTACCATTATTTCTTCACGATAAGGCGAGTATTTATAATAAGAAACATTTTATATAAAGGCCCTCACTACTATTTAGAAAAATCCATTTGTACATTTTTTTAAGAATCACCAGTTTTCAAATGTGTTAAATCAGCGCAGCCCGCGGGCCGCATGCGGCCCGCGTACGTATTACTTTGAATGTTTTGTTCATAAGTTTTAAATATCGAAATAAATTCATGAACGAATTGCGATCGGCCGTATAATCTATATATATAAAAATGAATCGCAAAATGTGTTGGTAAGCGCATAACTCAACAACGCCTCGACCAATTTGGCCAAATCTTTTTTTAAAATGTTCGTTGAAGTTCAAGGATGGTTTTTACGGCGAGAAAAATTAGAATTATTGCTGGAAAAACCCTAAAAATAGCCCTTTTTTTTTCCCATACAAATGATTTGTAACTAAAACGTAGTCAATTTGAGCTTTATTGCTATGGTATAAAGTTCATATTAAATTACGAGCACTCACTGTTGTCTAAGCAATGTAGGTGTGTTCCTAACGTCAAAGATCATATCTATCACAAAACAATGTGCGTGTGTGCGTTGGAGCACAGAATACATAGTTGGAGGAGTTTAATGTCGCGTTCCGAAACTCGCGTTTCTTTTGTATTAGTTTCGGCACGCAAGATAAAATGCATCAGTTTCCACGTCATTACATGTATTGCCGGAACATTGATGAAAATACGCTCTGTAGTAGCAAAGCTGTTGGGTCCTAGATAGCTCATTGGTTAGAGCAGTCCCTGGATCGCGAATGGGTTCGAGTCCCATTCCGGGGTACAGGTAGATGGATTCTTCCAGCATTTTTCCTTGAGAATGTTTATATATTTTTTTAATTCGAATAGTTTACTTTTATAATGCTGTTGTGTGTAATGTGTTTTTATGATCATAAAAATCTCTTTTTTCTATATTTAATACTATTACTATTAATACATTGCAATAATAATTATGATTCACATGATTAACAATAAAGCGATTACTTACTTTTAAATCCTTATATATGTTTTATTTAATTATTTTTTATTCACAACGCCCTATCACCAGGGTGACGGTTCTGTTCAGGAGAATTTTTTTAAATACGTAGGCAAAAAAACTGCCACATTACAAATCTTTTTGACAGGACGAAGTCTGTCGGGTCAGCTAGTATTCCATAATCCAGCTTCGCTCTGCTCGCGAACATTACTAACATAGTGTTCTAACATAATAATGATTTTGGGAACTAATTAAAAAAAAAAAACATTAGTTCCCAAAATCAAACTAGATGTCACCACGGTATTTTCTTAATTTCTCCATGAAAACCCTTCCGTTTTTCTTTCATATATAAAAGTAAATTAATTTTCAAAACTCAATAAGCAACTTATATTCTATTTGTACTTTGCAAATATCAGTTATAAGTTAGTTAAAAGGAGCGGTAGTGACTATCTTTCTTCCATTCGTTTCCTGCAAAAATCAACTTTAGCTAGAGTCGCAATCTAGTGAGACCTTTTTAGTGCTTTCTTTTTTTTAATACTTCCTCGGAATTAGCTACAGATATGGCGATTTTGAAAAAGTTGCAACCAAACTGTAGATTTTTGCAAACCCTTTTTCATGTGATATTGAGGAAGTACAAAGTCATTTACAAATGAACATAATTTTTGCTAGCACTTATTTATACGAACAAACGTTTTCAACGAGGAAGTTTTAAAAAAAAACATTAGAAATCAAACTAGATGTCGCTACGGTACGTTCTTGATTTCTCCATGACAACTCTTCCGGTTTTCTTTCATGTTTAAAAGTAAATTAGTTATCAAAACTCAATAAACAACTCGTATTCTATTTGCACTTTTTCATATTTGTATTGATATCTAAGTTTGGAACTTTTCAAATTTCAGTTTTTTAATATGTTAGTTAAAAGGAACGGAAATGACTGTCTTTAGTCCATTCGTTTCCTGCAAAAATCAACTTTTGCTAGAGTCGCCATCCTCATTATATTGAGTTTGACAGCGGTTATAACCTCAAAATATTATTTTCCAATTACGAATCTGTCTGGCTGCCAAATGAAAAAATACTTAGATATTATTATATTTTAAACAAAAATTTATTTAAATTGTCACTAAGGGTAGGCACACCTTTAAAAAAAACATGTGACAGGTGAATCAATGTATATGGGGGCGAACCGCGCGGTGTATGGTCTCCGGGCCGATCCCGTGCATCGCCTTCCATGCGAGGGACATCGCTGAGTTTTAGTGGGTAAACTCCTGTTTCTTGTCTAGCCCCTCCGGGGGTAGGGCCACAGGAGGATTCCCACATAACCCGTGAAGCCCGCGCTGGGTGTAGCGGGTATACGTAACGCATTTCTCAGCGTCAAAAAAAAGTTCTATCAATGTATGGGAAGTGGAGATGATTGTATAAAATCAGTTAATTGTTAGTAGTTTCTTTCGTAGTCTTCATTCGGTGTACGAAATAAATTCCGTATGTTTTAACAATTTTAATAGCATTCTCTGGGATATAACCAATTATTCGTGGGCTATGTAGATAATATTGGCTTCTAAGGTTAATTATCACAAGTGCAGCCCGCCTTTAGTTTATTTTGCCACCTTGTGGCCCTTGCTTATCAATAGATTGCCGACCGCTGGTTTGAATGATAAACACAAAACTTTAGTATAAATTTTGTCCCATAAAAATTAAATTAAATTATGATATCATAATAATATTTATCTTAATATTTGTTGCAGTGAAATTTTGTTGTCGCTCTATAAAATATTATATTTCTATATAGGTACGAAAACAGATACATTTAAACGTTTAATAAAATACACTACCTATTACATTTATATATAAAATCTATAAATTCATTATCATTTTACACGTAGAAATTAATCTGTTTACATGACATTGGATGAATTGTGCGAAATGCGCAGATAAGCCATTAATAAAAGAAGACCTCAAAAGATTGTGGTTTAAAATCAAGTGGAAACATTTTAGTTATAGATTATTCCTTACTCATAGATGAAGCCGTAAAAGGAATGTGTACCTACCAACCCTTGGGCTTACTTGCGATTTATACACAAAATCAAAAAATCTGTACGTCATTGCAAATGGTTGTCGTCATCAAAGAAAAACACAGTCCAACAGTCTCATTAGCAACCTTTGTAAACCAAACTTTCACGTATTTTTTTTTTTAATTATGACAAATTTCAAGCATCACTTTAAGTTTCCATAAATATAGAGTGCAGCTAATAACGTGATCGCAATGTGGCGCCAGCTGTTAGACAAGTCACTAGCAGATCGATTTGTATTTGTAAGTTTTGTATGGAAAGCTTATACTTATACTATATAAGTTAATGACACAAGATAAATAATTAAGAATTAATTAAATTTATGACAAGTAAGGGCAATCTAATGAGTTACATTTGAGGCTTATAGAACCCATTATGTTCATTTTCGCAATAATAAATGACGGATGATTAACGACGGTCTACCTATAAAAGTATTAATCCTTACTATAAAACTTCAAAAAAATTGGGTACTCCCTTGCTAATAAATTGAGTATCAATATACCAACGATTTAATATGATATAAATTGGTCGTAAAAATCAATAAAAAAGTTTTCATAATCATTTTTAAAACTAAAGAATAATGTAAATCCGCATAGAATCTGTTTACCTACTTTTATAGATATGTGTGTGGTTGTATTGCGTGCACTGTTGTATTTTGTAAGTGTGGTTGTATTTATTATTTGCTACTGGATCTCATACCTTTTAAATTCTTTGTTTTTAATAATTTCTTCCTCGGAAGTATTGAACTTTCATTGAAATAGAAATTTTCTTACAACACAAGTTTTTAATTAGATTTGATTTAAGCAGTGTTTTAGAAAATATGTACAACAAACTATTTTCCCGTTATTGCGCCAACGTAAAATATAGCCTATGTCACCCTCATAATATATAATACGGCTTGCCGTTAGTGAAATAGTTTTCATGACCGGATCAGTATCATTGCTAGTGAAGCATATCACGACTTCACGGAATACGTCTTGAGCTAGGATTCGCTAGACTGGCATACCCGCCGGATCTCGCTACTGTAAAACAGTGTAATGACTGCGACAGTCCTACACTAGCAAACATTATGTATTTAACGAAGTGTTGTATGTAACGAAGTCCGGCGAGCACGTCTGCAGACTTATCTGTGGGCACGCCAGTGAATTCCTCGCTTAAGCGAGAGCTGTCCTATGACGTCACACGCATCGAGTGGAGTTGCACGCTCTCTTCAAAATTCTAATAGCAATAATTTTTACTCTTCATTTTCAACTGATTTATTCCTATTAAATACGGATTAACCGCTAAACATAAAAATATAACGCTTTTTCTCCCTTTTCGCTAACGTTAGGAACGGACTATAGAATTACCTAAAATATAGAACTAATTAGCACTCTCCATACACTCGTAATGTCGCAATTTTAATTCTGAAACCTTGTCTAGTAATTAATTTACAAAAAAATCTTTGTATAATAAAATATTACTAAACAAAACAATAATAAAAAGCAATCACAGATCAGTTATTTTAAGAAATTTCCTAACATGTGTTTTGGTTAGAAAATATTATTTTGTGTATAATATTTTTGTTGGATAGCTTGTTAAAAAAAATACATTAAAATATTATGGACTTGTTTATATTGTAACCTTAAACTATGATTCTGATAAAGGTCTAATAAATAGAACGTACATTTCCTCTTATACCTATTCTTATTCTAAAAATGTACAAATGGCATGCTTATATCAACTTAAATAATACATAACAGGATAATAGGCTCTGTTCTAGCAAGGCCAATTAATGTTAAAATAAATTTAGACAACTACGCAACCTTTCAACTTGGTGTCCATCGTTTGAGCAACATCATCTGCTTGGATTTTGAAATGTGTCCTCAATCATATAGTACAGATTGCCTATATTTGTATAAAATCGTTTGAATATGGAAAAATAAAGTATTTGGTAAGTAAAAAAGTATCTCTTTTGTTTTTTTTATCATATTAAAACGTGTTTTTATGTTTATAACAATGTTTTAGCGCACGCTAAATTATTTTTTTATAACATTTTATAGATTTTAAAGCTCGTTTAATATAAATTATAGGCATTATATTTCTCGCCACATTAGATTAAAAAACTATTTCACCCATTTAGATAATTTCATCTATTGTGACATCTGTAAAATAACATCTTAAGTGTACCATTTCATTTAATAATTATTGGCTGAATCAAGAAGACGCTTCAGGAAGAAGTTGAATTGAATTATAAATTGATTACATCATCTCTTTGAAACAAAAATGATCAAATATAATACTTTAGTTTTGTTCCAAAGTAGGTATAAAGTATATTTATCGAAAATAAACTTAATATAAAGTGTGGTGGGCTACCTAAAGTAGAACTCGGCTTTTATATTAAATTTCCGTAGTAAGACATCTTTAATAAGCTGTGAACATCCAAAGTCACTACATCTGATTTTGCCTTATGAAGTTAAGTCCAAATAAGCGGATCATTTAAGGGTCCTTTCATTTGAAGGGACACATAGTTATGTAACAGTTTAGGGGACGTTGGTGAAATCGGTCATAAATGTGTCAAAAATTCATTTCAAATCGGAGACGGTGGCGCTGGTTATAGTTCCTTTAGTTTATACTTCATTGCCTCGTTTATAATCTATACGAAATTAGTAAAATTGATGCTTTGGTTAAGAATTAATTTCAAAATCCAAGAAGGTGGCAATGTTCTACTGACGGACACCTCGAATTGAACGGAGCCTATTCTTTGATGTAGTAACAAAGTGTAACAATTATATATTCATGCCTTATTTAGATAAAACTATGTCGTCGACAGTAGAAATCATGAAATCATGACAAACCATGCAAACACACAGTCCCAGCTATCACTCAGAATTGTTTTTCAGACTCACTCTATACACAAACTAGTACATCTCCAAGCTTCATAGTTTTTAAGAGTCCGCTTATCCTTACGTAACAACGCGCTTGCGTTGTATTCTGAAAAAAAAATAATAAAAATGTTAGAAAAGAGCCAACATGTGGAATCCTATTAATATTATAAAGGCGAAAGTTTGTAAGTATGGATGTATGGATGTTTGTTACTCTTTCACGAAAAAACTACTGGACGGATTTGGATAAAACTTTACAGCAATATAGGTTATACATCAGAATAACACATAGGGTACTTTTTACTGGGAAAACTTCTCACTCCCACGGGATACCGACTTCCACGCGGACGAAGTCGCGGGCGTCCACTAGTGTTTTATATAATGCCACTTTATAATAATTTGATTAGTTTACCTTCGCTTGGCACAGCGTCAACTTGCATCAACAATTCGCATTGCTTTATAAGTACTTAAACATTGTGCACGTGTTAACTTTCACAAAATGAAACAAATTTTATTTCATTATATAATTCCTTCATACTACATTTTGGCGACACTTCTCTTAAACATATTTCAAACAAAGCTTAATATATTTTTATGGATTCAATCACTTTTCCAGAGACTACATAAATGAAACTTGTCGTTTAACAAAATATATTTTATGAAGTACAGTAAACTCTCTCTACTGGAATGCATTGTAGGTAACCTTCACATCAATTGCCAAAACCTTAAACTGTGGTAACATGGCGTGCTGTTAGGGCCAGTTTTTGATCCGTAGTCAAATGTCATTTCACCATTTGTTAACTTGACTATAGTTAAAATATTAACAAGTTGTTAACTCGTTATTTCCTTTTTTAATGCCAAATTAAACCATAGCCAATAAGTCATTTTTTCGCTATACATTGACATGGGTAATTTTTTTCTGGGTGACAACACTAATAGTTTGAATGAACGGAGCGAACTATATACCATTTTTGACATTAGGATTTTGTTCCAAATATCAAATAGACGAAAGAAATCTATAGATTATCAAACAGTGGATGTTTATGGCTGTTCTGTTGTGTGCACTATGTGTTATTTTTTAGGAAATATAAGGCAATTTCTTTAATAATGTTAGAAAGCAACAAAGATTTCTTTTTTCCAGTTATTTTAAACTTAACTTTTTTATAAAAAAACATATATTTGTTTTTGTTTATCTTATAGAGAAATACGTGAAAAGAATATAATATCCAAGTTGGGATTGTAATGTTGGAAAATAAATCGAGGACTATGTATTTTATGTACTATAGGCATATTTACCTTTTGTATTGTCAATTTTTTGGATTTTATAAGATTTTTAATAATTTGGCATATACCCGTGGAAACAAGAAAAAATATTTTATATAGTACAAATATACTAAGGATGCTCAAGATAAAAAATTAACTTATTTTCCATAACCCTATAACCCAAAAATGACAATGAATATTTTTTTATGAAATTGCATCATAAAACGAAATTCCAAAAATAGCTAATGTCCAAATTCACTATGAAATCATGTAGGTTATAAAAACAACGTAAAGAACAATAACAAGTGACCAAGTAAATACAACGCAGTTGTACATCTATTCTTTTAACCATTGGTCATTTACTTAACCTAGCTTCCAGTGATGGTTAAATTTTTTGACCAATGGTTGTAATTTTGACAATTGGTTAGGCTAACTATTAATCAAAAAACATGTTTTTCTGATATTTAACCATTTGTCAAAGATTTTAACAAATGGTTGAGTTAACCACGGATCAAAAAACTGGCCCTTAGGCTTAAAATTTTAAATCAATAAGTATCAACACATACATCTGTAATGACAAGCAAATTTATATACAATGGATCTTGACTAAATGGGTGTAGAACCTTATTTTTGAACTAAGTTATAAATTCGAAAAAATAGTCATAAATTCGCTTTGCAGAATCATTATTATGAAATAGTATCATATGTACAATTAAGAAACTTGATAATATTTTGCTAAAATTATTTTGTTCACACAATGGAAGACCGTCAAGTTATCTGACCAAACATAATAGCAGATGTTCATTCACAATATAAAAATACTACATTGAGGGCCAGTTTATTGATCCGTATTCAATGTCATTTCACCATTTGTTAACTTGACTATGTTTAAAATATTAACCAGTTCTTAACCCGCTATTTCGTTTTTTGATCCCAAATTGAACCATCGCCAAATTTAGCCACTGGTTAATTTGTTGCCAGCACAATGAATCGTTCTTTCGCTATACATTGACATGGGTAATTTTTTTCTAGGTGACAACACTAACGGTTTGAATGAACGGAGCAAACTATATACCATTTTTGACATTAGGACTTCGTTCCAAATATCAAATAGACAAAAGAAATCCATAGATTAATAAACAGTGTGTATGTTTATGGTTGTTCTGTTGTGTGCACTATGTGTTATTTTTCAAGAAATAGGCAATTTCTTTAATAATTTTAGATAGCAACCAAGATATTTTTTTTTCGAGTTATAGTCAAGATAACAAATAACATTTGACCACGGATCAAAAAACTGGCCTTAAGTTGACAGATAAAATCTTACAATTTTTTTTTGTCATAATTTTAAAATTTCTTGAAATTAGTATTCTAGTCCATTAAAATATTATATTTTGTTAGGTCACGATACTAGGTCTACAAGTCACTTCTAGGGAATTTGGATATGTCATCAGGGTAAACAAGTAGCGGTGATCAAACTGAACGCAGACCGGCAGCTGTAACACTCGCGTTAACATAAACAAGTTACATAATAAATATATTATCACTGTGATAAGTACATACCTACGTAAATAAATAAATAATAATAAATAGATTGGCAGATATCTGCAAAATTGTTTGTTTTATTTATAATGACTTTGTATTGAATTTAGGTACTGTTATACCAGATGAATAACATTAATCTCATTGCAAAATTTTTGTCAACTATTTCATGAATTATATTTTGTTATTTTTACTCCACTAATCTTAAAAAGAAATAACGATAAATAAACTTAATTGTTTTTGAACTTGTATAGGTACCAAGAACAGTAGATAATCATTATTTACGTTTTTGCATACTTACGATTGCTTAATTAATGAAACATTTTTCTATGTAGATATCAATTTGTTACTTTTGAATTGTCAAAGTGATAGAAAACTTATGATAACGTTAGTTATATAAATCAAGAGGGAAGATTTGATTAAAATGAGGGTATACATAATACTTATTATGTGGGTGTTTAAATAAACAGTCAGTCTTGATCTAAGAGCTGCGTTTCATTACAACACGTGCTTGCTTTGTTGTTCTTGCGATATTACTGATTTACAAGCGTTTAAAAACATACTATAATAATAATCAGTTTTCTTTGTTTAGTATAACTAAATACCATTCTTTAATCTTATTTGGGGTGAAGGGCGGCGGCTGGTGTATGCTCAAGTGTGCGGTGTTGAGCAGGATATATCTACCTACTATTAATAGACACCGCACAACACCGTCTAACCTGGGATCCAAGTAGCGGAACCATCTGTCGCTAGCTTTATTTATTTATTTAATGGCACAATTACAGAGTACATATCATAGTTACAGAATTATATCTTATTTATATTTAGATACAGAGTAAATTTGCACTCTAATGACAACGGTTCTCAGCTCTATTCTGCAATAAAAAGATAGCAATTATCAAACTAAAAGGTTCATATTGTACTTCAACACGAAAAGGGAATCTTCGTATCCATATGTCCTTCGAACCTCTCTTGTATAAACACTTTCCTACCTTAATCTTTCTCTCCTTTCAATAAATTCCATAGGCTGACCTATAAAAGATTTTATCGAAGGGGGGGGGGGGGGGGGGAAGGGCAGTCGACAGATTAATTAGCCCCTCCTGCGCTAAGGCCTGCATAGTCGATCGCCATAAGGGAGGAATTAGGAGTAATGGGGGTTGAACAAAGCAAGGTACTACCGCCGACCTTCGCAACGCAACACGTCCTCTTTGGTCCGGATTTCAACCGAAACGGTAGCGCCAGATAGAAAACGGTCAGGCGTCCCGTCAGAGGGCCCCTGTGAGATGTGCGGCGTCTGGCGCAGTTAGTTGTACCGGATGAGTGGAACGACTGGGGGTCTCTGAACCGGTAACCCAGCCACCCATTTCGAGCTTCCAATATCACACTTGAATAATAATTCCCTACATCTATATACAGTCTGTAGTCTTAGTGAACCTTTTTGATAGGACGCTTCCAGATTGCAGAAGGGCTCCGTGGAGCGACGACGCGACTGGATGAATTATACACCATACAAAACATGGACACTAACAGGTTCCTTACACCGACACAACGAGTCACAGACATTAATACAGCATCTCGTGAGGAGTGAAACAACAACACGTCTGAAGGGAAACCGGAAGGCACACAGGTCACACGGTGTATGTCACAGGTGGGGACAACCACACTGCTGGAGCTAGATTGGACGCAAGTGGGCATAAAGGTTGATAAAGTGGCAGAGGAAACTCTGACCACCACTGCCCAGCTGCTCTACAAGTGTCGAAACGCAAAGAGAAACAAGGCCAGGAAGCAAACGAAGCAGCGCAGGAGGGAATCCCGAATTTCTGCCTTTTCTAGCAAGCGACTTACCCCGACTCGCACGGTGGAGGAAACGCAAGGAAGACCTGCCAACCGCTCAAGCAAGCCCTAGCGATGCCCACTACCAGTCGGGACAAGGCACCAAGAACGTATTGGGGAGCGCAAAGCTACTTGTTGCCTGAGCAAACCTAAGCGGAACCCGAGCCAATCACTGAAGGGACCGCCCACTGCCGAAGGAGAAAGGAAAGAGGAAAAGAAAGACAAACTCAAGCACCAAGACGGCCTGACCCCACGAGACTTTGTATCCGATGTGGGTTAGATGTGGCTTCGTTATTTCCAAACTCTGGAAGAAATATCGCATTATGCTAGGCAAGCGCCTAGTGATCGGTAACCCAGATCTGAACATCGAAAGATGGTTATTCAACGGTGTTCACCTGCAGCCAAAATTTGAAGGAATCTTTGTCCTCCTATCGATACCTGAAATGTATCCGCGATCCTGACTAAGGGGCGCAG